ATGTATAAAAGTCTATATATTTGTATACTTCTAATATATATATATATATATAAAAAATAAAAAATAAATACCATTGTGATAAATGAATCATCCGGGAAGCGTACAATCATCAAAATGCAATGTACATTGTTGCTAAAAAAACTCAGTCCAGATGTGCTGTATAATTTTCAACTTTTGGAAGCATTTCATGCTCCGGTCCCCGAGGGGTTTCGCAGTTCAGCTTCATCAGGTCTCAGGTTCCATAATGTGGAGTCTCTCCTCTGCTATAGAAATCCAATATCAAAATGTTCTCAAAGGAATCTCACACTCCCAACAAGCTACACAACACGCCACAGTTCAGCTGTTTCCTCCGTGCATAAACACCACTCAAAAACCCTCCAAAAAGCATCAGAATAATCCTGGGTTTCTAGCATCAACAAACAACCTCTTCACAACAGTCTAAACATTGCTTTCATGAGGGGAAACAACTCCCAGAGAAGATTACGTGAGGTACATCGAAAGGTGCGGTGAAGAAAACAGTGCTTTTTTTTTTTTTTTGAGAGCCACATATTCAGTGTGGAAATTTAAGAAGTGGTTTTATTGTGAGTCAAACAGGGGGAATCTAACATGCTCAATCGTGACGGCAAAACCAACGAAGCCCAAGACTGACTGTACAACACAACAGAGTTACTGGCAGCAACGGTAATCCCAGTAATGCTCTTACCAGCCCAGCATAATTGAACAATGAAAGATGGGTTTATGGCTAATAAATTTAAGCAATCTTCACTGGTGGTTAATGCATAAAGAAGAATATAATCCTCTTAGGATATGACTGTCAACTTTTTTTGCATTCTCCCACTTTCGAATAACAAAAGATGGGATTTGCACCTCATCCAGATTATTGTTAAATGGAATTATGCTCACTGTTTCACATGACAAGGTGACCTTAAAGACTCGCACACTTATCCCTCCAGCTTTCATCTGTCATGCAGGTGTATTTCAATGGAGCTACATTTGTAATCTATTTGTGAATGGATACATGGTTAATCAAAGAAGAATACTTACAGGACTGTTGCTAATGCTATCCGTGTGAACGTAATATATTTTTTTTCTTTTTTAGCACTAAGCCAAATTAAAATGTAAAAACATTCTCTTGGATTGAACAATGGTTCCACAAATCATTTACACTGAAATGTGTGTCACCCATTATGTCATGAATTAGACCCAATGTTTCTATTGACATACCAGCAGACTTGGGTGATCAAATATTTATATTATATTATATTATATTATATTATATTATATTATTAAAGATGCCAACAACATTAGGAAGTACATTTCTCTGAATCAGTTCTTTTGAAATGTCCAATGCATTGAATCACTTCAAAAGAATCATTTATACATTCACTTCACTTTTGTGCCCTTTTACATATTACATTTAGCAATGTAGGTAAACACTAATTATTACATAAATACTGTTATGATTACATATTACATATCATTCTGTTCTAAGTGAAAAACTATTTGGAACAAATGTATTGATTTTATTTTTGCTTTAGACATTTTGAATCACCTTCAAAAAAGTGTATCCGATTGAAAAAAAAAGCATCTTATTATTTAAAGCAAATACATAATTATCAATTATTAAAGTAAAAGTTTAGGGTAGAGTGTCGTTTTTTTGAAATAAGTAATTTCTTTCAAATCAAGTCTCAGCTCACCATGGCTGCATTTAACAAATAAAATAAAAATAAAAACATATAATCGAAAAAATAATACAATTTAAAATAATGGTTTTCTATTTTAATATGTTTTAAAAATGTACTTTATTCCCGTGATGTCAAAGCTGACTATTCAGCATCATTACTCCAGTCTTCAGTGTCACATGATCCTTCATAAATCACTCTAATATGATGATTTGCTGCTCAAGAAACATTTATGATTATTATCAATGTTTAAAACAGTTGTTTTTCAGAGTGTCAGTGATGCTGTGTTGTTGTAAACATTGAATGGAACTGAATTTGCACACCTGACCACAAAAAAAACCTTCACTCTGCAGTCTACACATATACGTCATCATATTTCCTTTCTCTTTAATATTTTATTATAAGTGCACAGACATTTCTAAAGGCACTGCTGTAATAAACATGAACAAAGAAAGGGGTATCCCCTCATAGACTCCCATGATTGCCTCGCCACAAACCCATCTCATCTAGCCCGCTCTACCATCACTGTACGGACACACTGGGTCACTGCACGATGAAGGTGACAGTGGGTTTCCTAGACACACCCTAAAGACTCTGCTACTCCTTTCCCATGAGGCTCGGCGGCAGCATCTGTGTACCGGCAGCTCGGGGTGAGTGCTGACGCATTCAGACAGCAGGAGGGGGACAGAAGAATCAGCTCGTTCTCCCTCCCTCTCCCTCTGCTTAGTGCTTCTTTTGAGCTGGTGATGGCGTTTACTGTTAGACCAATGTGCTTTCATTTATGACCCAAAATACAGGTTTTCTAGGCTAGATATACACCAAGCTACTCATCGATAAACAGATGTAGCTGCAAACTAGCTTCAAATGTGGCGTGGTTACGGAGACGAGTACTAACACAATATCTAGCCAATTTGGTTTCTAAAGACATTTGTAGATTTAGGATTATTAGCTAGGTTAAGATTTAATTTCACTGACTTCCATCAAACTGATTGCATCCTGGGAGACAGGATGTGACTTCATAAAGGGGATTCATATTAACAGCAGAGCCGGTTCAGAGCTGATTGATTATCGGTCGTTGATTATGCTTTGTGAATGATTGAATAGACAACTGAACAAATTGAACAAAGAAAAAATGCATTTTCTTATCAGGTAACACCTTACAATAAGGTTGTTTTAACCTCAGTGAATTGACTGAATTAATTATGAATATGTATGTATGTATGTATGTATGTATGTACGAATGTATGTACGGATGGATGGATGGATGGATGGATGGATGGATGGATGGATGGATGGATGGATGGATGGATGGATGGATGGATGGATGGATGGATGGATAGATGGATAGATAGATAGATAGATAGATAGATAGATAGATAGATAGATAGATAGATAGATAGATAGATAGATAGATAGATAGATAGATAGATATAGATAGTTTTTAAAATGGATACTGAATGAAAACAAACTTAATGCATAAAATAGTGCTGAACTTTATAACATAAAAAAAGAAACCAGTGCTTTAAAATGTAAAAATGTATTAGTAAATGTTGAAATTAAAAATGTATTAGTAAATGTTGAAATTAAAAATGACCAATACTTTTATTAACCTTAGTAAATGTTACAAATTGACTCAATCCAAACTAAATCCAAACAGTCATGCTTAAAGTTGGCCATCTTTAAAATATCTATACAAAGGCCATTGCAAATAGTTACATATGTATATAAATCCTTTTCTGAAGTGCCCAGCTCTGTACGTGTCAAAACAAACTCCAGGAGGCGTCAGTGATAGTTTTTATTTCGCCTCTAGGGGCCGCTCTCGTACTGTATAATGACTTCTCAGCCGCTCCAGCAACGGATGCAACCCCGGAAAAAAAATATTTTATGGATTTTTGCAGACAAACGAATGTTCCAGCAATCCTGTATCGGTGCCGATTTATCGGTTAAATCGGTTGACCTCTAATGACAACTATTGTGTTGTGTTATAAAGAATACACATATACAACTTCATTGTAAAAGTGTAACTGTTTGTTTCTTGTTTGCTGAAGACAAATTCAAAATTTCGTTCATCCTAGGATTATTTTAAATCATACCGATTATCGCCTGCTGAAACATTTTCCCGCTTTAAAACGGTGGGTGGCACTAAAAATCCCCTCGTATGCAGATATGTGTTCTCCCGATCTTACCTTGATTTGTTCACAAGAGGTTAAAGGGATTTACAACGTTTACATCCATGCATTGCAGACAGACACAATCCCGATCCATGCACAACACTTGATCTGCATGTGGCCAAATCTAGCATCATATTACATAAAGTCTTTATATAATAAATAAATCTGCCCCATTATTCTGTCTTTTTCCAAGAAGGATTTTCAACCCTTCACTAAAACGCTTCATCGCCCAATAATATTTCCCTATCGTTATGCAAAAAAAAAAAAAAAAAAATCAAAACAGAAAAACAAATAAGCATGGGATGTCTGGCATAAAAATGTCTGAGTAACATATTTTTCCATCTTGGGCCTGAAGTACAGCAGGCTTCGTCAGCACTGCAGGCCGCAGAGGCTGCAGCATATCTAATAGCACTGAATCAACAACCCCCAGACATCATTCAACCATCAGGGTTGAGGAGATCGTGTCTGCTATAACAGTCCGTGCTGCTTAATGTCAGCTTCTCAAACATTTGATCAGAAAGACCACTTTAAATGTCTCATTTTACTGATGCAGTGAATTATTCCCATACAAATAGTCTATAGGTGCGAAACAGAGACTGGCATTTTACAATCTAAGATGCATGGTAACTCATTAAGTTGCATACTGGGCATCTAGCAACAAGACAGCAATTTCCTCCTCAATGCAAGTAAGCAATGCTAAATCTAATAGATTACTCAATGATACCAATCTTTAAACATCCATTCTGTAATGAAAAAAAAAACATGCCCCACCCTAAGAAATAAAAATGCTCAGCTAATTTATCTTTCCATTTATCAGGCCAAGGTACCAATTGGTTCTCACTCACTCTCTCACTCTCACTCACTCACTCACTCACTCTCTCTCTCTCTCTCACACACACACACACACACACACACACAAACACGCACACATATACGCAGACAAACCTTCATAAATATCAGATCTGATCCCAGAATTGTGTTATTAGTACGCTCACTGTTTTTATATATTAAATTTGGCTGCATAATAATAATAATAATTAAACAAAAAACAGCTTGCAAAAAAATGATGTATTCCCAAGGTTAACCTGAATCAAGTACATGACAATTAGAACAAGACATAAATGTGTTATCCGCATTCGGATCCTACCTCATCTCTCCAGACGCAATAAGACAATAAAGTCATTAATATTAATGGCGTTTTCTGCCCCATTCTTCTTCCTTCTCTTCTTGGTATTTAACTTTGCTGATTTCTCTGAATGCCTGTTTTAACTACTGTATCATTTACAAAAGAAAAAGCAACGGGATTGAGCAGGTCTGCTGCGGGATACGAGCTGGTCTGATCGGCGTTAGGCTGAGATATCTCCTGTGTCCGCAGATCTCGGTGTGAATGACAGTCGGCTGCGGCTCCCCCTGTAAAAACCAAACCCTCCTCCGCTCGGGCTGCGCAGAGGGTGGGCGTCCATTTGCTGAAGAACAGCGGCCCCTGCTGGACATTCATAGAAATGCACTGTGGACGCCTGTGTGGGAAAAGACACGAAGTCTGCGGGAGAAATACGTAGGCATACTAGTTTATACTTTTCACCCAGCTAAATGCATCTTGGTGCCTACAGGTCATTATTTCAATGGATTTTACAGCCGCTGTTGTTCCTCACTACATTACTTTCACATCTACCTGCTTATGGTGTAGTTTCAGGCTTGAATCGCTAGAGGGAAGTCCAGATAAATGAACACCATGCACGCACGCTCTAACACACATACCGGTAATCCCATTCCCATGTATTAAAATGATTAATGAATAGGCTGTGATGTTCTATTGAGCTAATGAGGTTTATATGTTTAATAAGATGGCAATGTTTAATAAGAATGTGATGATGAATAGGTGATATTGAACATTTCCACTATTGTTGCCCAGGGAAAAAAGATTTTGACAATAATGGAAACAACTTAAAAAAAAAAAAAAACATAAAAAAAAAATGTGACATTGAGGTCTGGCGCAAATGCACCTTAAAGTTGGTTTGCCAACCGCCATTTAAACAACAGAAGAAGAAGTAACATTGTAAACGCATGGTAAACGCCTGTTATTGTGAGTTTAGTGACGGAAGTAGTTTTGTCAGCGAAACTACAGCGTCATCATCGCGAGCCCTCAGGTGAGGTGAGAGAGATGAGAGAGAGAGGACGCCGCGGGACTCACTGGATCAAACTCTGAACTGTCCACAAACAACTTTTACAATTTGAATATTTCTCCCAAGACGCAGAAAAAGCAGCGCCTGGATAGACTGATCTGAGTTTCTGTTTGGTGTCTGTTTGCTGAAGTAAGATGAGTTCCGCCGCGTATAAACATGTAAGTGTTTCTTTATTTTTTATCTTATTTTTAAATCTCTTATCCTTGATTGAAGTGGCGCTGTTCGGCACACATTCCCCTATGTTGTCAACTTTATTGTTCGCAATATTTAAAGTTTCCGTGTCAAAGAAAAATGACAACACAACTTGAGTATGTAAATTTAAAGTTTATCATACGGTTGATGTGCGATGTATTCAGGTAGGTCAATTTAAAACTTTTCTTCAGTCTGTTTAACTGTTTCACATTGACACCTGTGCGAGTCTTGCGCCATCATCGACTACTGGATTTTTGATTCATCCCACTGACTCGTTTGAATAAACACATATGAACGAGTCCAGTTGATTGGAGCAGGTGAACGAGAATGATTCGTTCAAGATTCTCTTAACAAGACTAACTCTGAGTCCATGTCAGTGAAGGTTTAATAGTGTCCAGATGCTCCTACGAGTAAAGTGGAACATTTCGATATTTGTGTGTGTGTGTGTCTGTGTGCAACTGACCACTTTAACCTTCAAACACAGCTGGTATAACCAGTTAGACATGGATTGTCAGAAACATTTTTTAGTTTAATAATTTACACAACATATAAAATGAGTTTACATGCGTAGCCCCAGCTAACAATTTTATGTTCTGGGAACGTTAGTTTTTGGTTCCCAGAACGTTCTGGGAACGTTCCCAGAATGTTGGTTCTCCAGGAAAGTTTTCTTAACGTAAATAGAACGTCCCCTTAAGGTTAGGGGAACGTTCCGGGAACCTATTCGGAAAATGAAACCTAAAAAAACCTACAGGGAACGTTCTGGGAACGTTTCCTTTAGGTTATAAAATATAACCTAAAAAGAACCTACAGGGAACGTTCCTAGAACGTTCTCGTTTGGTTCCCATAAAATAACCAAATGGGAACCATACGGGAACGTTCTGTGTTTGTGTTTGCATCATATAGATGCAGCACCTTTTTTGGTTCATATATTCTGATATCTTGTAATTTACAGTAAATCAATTATCTTATAACAGTATAGCATAATACTTTCATAAAATATAAATATCAGTTGGCACTCTATATCTCCCAATAATTTGTTCTTGGATTTCAAGTTGTTAATAATTTGTTCTAAGATTAAAATGTGTAGTTTTACGGTCAAAGTTGCTTCAGTGCGGTAAATCTTCATCTTTAAATAAAAATGACTCTTTACTTTATAAAGTCATTAAAGATTTTGCAGCAAAAAGACACACGATGTACCACAACCTGACGGTGGACATTTTTACTTGTTAATCAGATAACAGAAGGCATGTAGAAGATTGTGTACAGCCTATGGTTTTGATCATGTTGATAACTTAGAAGACTATATATGAGGGTGATACTGTAAGCTTTAGGGTTAATGCCTGACATTTGCATTTGGCTTTTAGACTAATTTTTTTGTGTTCACTAGAAATCAATCCCTTGACTTTGGTGTTTGGTGGTGACCATGCAGATTAGCAGGAATGTACAATAATTTGAACAGAAACATTCCCCTGAAGGCAAAGTATGTGTTTGAGATCCATTTAGTGTCACCATGGCATTTTAATGTTGTCTCTCTGTGTGTGTGGTTGTGGCAAAGTGTAAATTCTTGCCATAAAGTTGCAAATGGAGACACATCAGGCCAGGGTTTGGGCTTGGCTCTTTATGGCCACTTCCTTGTCCTTAAAGTGTGTCGCTGTGGTCCGAGTCACATCCACAGATTGTCCGTTTTAGTTGTATGTTATTTTTCTGTCATGACAAAGCTCTAACCCTAAACCCTATAAACCCTAAACCTAACCCTACAGCAACACAGTGCTTGTGGAAGCAAAAAGCAAGAGACACGCCGTCGCCCAGTGTTGACACGTTAAGTAATATAATCCATATTATTCATGTCTTGTTCTGAATCCCTTTTTGAGAAATCTAGATGCATTCATATCCATAATTATGATTCATATACATTATTTTCAAAGCCAAATAACACTGGTAGTTTCTTAAAGCCAATAATTTCCCTTGTGGTTCTTGTCTTGCCATCACAATTTAAGAAAAGACATAATGGATATGCATGTCCTATAAATAGATTAGTGAGGATGAATCATTTCATTGGCTAGTCTCTCACTTGATGATTGGCTGTCTGTATCATTTAACTATGGCAACCAACTACCAAAATATGTTGACTCGAACTAGATGGATGTAGCCATATATGATCAGACATAAGACCTTCCGCTACATTAGGAGGAGGTCATGTGTTCAGAACTCAGTCTGTGGATCATTTTTGGTGTAAGTGTATTGTGATTGTCAAAACATTTGGTAACTAAACAGAATTGTGTTAAGTTTAGTTAGTGACAACATGTTACAATGTTTACATGGTACAATGACTTGTTGGCTACTGTTTTTACACAAATTTCACAATTTCAATTCAAATCTTGTGATTTGATTCCGATCTTGATTCAATATCGATTCATTTGGATTAAATATTAGGTAGCCTAACAGTAGATGCATGTCAATTTTTCTCAAGAAAAAAAAAAAAATCTCACCTATGCTGTAAACATACAGAGAGCCCTGTCAGCTGGTATTATTATTAAAGGTTAAAATATAATGTGTTTTTTTACTAGCCTATAAAAACAACGTTACAATATTTGAATAAGTAAAAATATCATAAATATTTAATATGGTGCACATATTTAGCAAAATACTCCCCTCTATATATAATTTGTCTAGCCAACTAACGTGCTATCAAATGGCTTTCCTGAGGTAAATGTAACGCTATGTGACATATTGTTCTCCAGCTGTTTTATTGACCTCTTTCTGCGGTCGAAAAAAAAACACACTGATTGATCGATATTATGTATGAGGCATAAACATTTCGGTAAGTTGTAGGCTACTGTATATTTCAACACACCTATTGCTCATTCGTGTTTATGTACTATTAACTAGTTGTAAAGAGAAGGCCCTATGAGATGTTCGGTTCATGACCACGATCTGTCACGTCACATTTACAAGCGCCAAAACGCTATTGTTTGAATTTCGTAATAAAATGGACAGAATCTGACAGCTGAGAATTAGTTTCATATCAATAGTAACCTGCTCAGTCTTGTCTGTCCTCTTTGCTTCACGATTTTTCTCTGCGTGAGAGCGTGTGAAAAGTGTCAATTGCGTCAGTCTCTGAATGAGTGAGAGTTGGCAGCCCTGCTCTCTCTGCTCAGTGTCAGGTGGGCCCCTGGGTGGGCCTAGGCCCCCTCATTTACATGTCCGGCCCCCTCAGATTTCTGATTGCTTAAAAAAAAAAAAAAACTTTAGGAGGCAAAATATTTTTTAGTGATTATGTGAATTACACTGCGCAAACCAAAGTAATACTACCCACCGGATGAAGAAGGGTTGGCTCTCAGTCTCCACCGTACATAAAATATTAATTTAATTTTACATTATTTTTCGTGTTTGCATTTATGAGGAAAAAAAAATGTTACGGACGACCGGACGTGTTCTCCATTAGGGACGCTCTGAAAGCGGCCCTAAAGACTGCTTTAAAAGTTCCACAGAGACATCAAACAGAAAGCACAAAACCTTTCTTTAACCTGAATTTCATTTTGTATTAATTGTATCTTAATTTTAATCAATGTTTCATCCAACAAATTGCCTGGAATTAATAAACAAGAAGTAAATATAGCAGACGATAGATAAGAAATGGAGGCGCCGGCGCGTGAACTGGAGCTCGTCTCATTAATGAAACGAAACTCAGCATATAGGCCTAAGGTAGCCTACTTGCCTCACATGTCTACTTTTAAACAGAACAATTCAAAACGAAAGAAAACAGACTACAGACTGCTCTCTGCTTATGTAATCCTTATGAAATGTGCATTTCGCCTCTGGCGCGTTCACTACTGAAGATCGCGAGTCAGCATAGTCAACTTCATCTTAGCCGACAAAGAAAACATTTGTTTATTAATAAACAATTAAAATATCTCTTAGGGCTGGGCAACGATTAATCGCGATTAATCGCATCCAAAATAAAAGTTTGTGTTTACATTATATATGTGTGTAGTGTGTATAATTATTTTGTATATATACATACACAAACATGCATGTATATATTTAAGAAAAATGTGTTAATAAATCAAATATTTATATTTATATATAATATTAATTATGTATAAATATATATAAAGTATATACATGCAAATATATCTTAAATATATACATGCATGTGTGTGTATGTATATATACAAAATAATTATACACACTACACACACATATATAATGTAAACACAAACTTTTATTTTGATGTGATTAATCGCGATTAATCGTTGCCCAGCCCTAATATATATATATATATATATATATATATATATATATATATATATATATATATATATATATATATATATATATATATATATATATATATGCATGCATGCATGTATATGTTGCCCCCTCATTTAAAGATGGGACCCCCCAAAAATAAAATTATGGCTACGCCCCTGACCGCAGACAAGCTTATTTCAGTAAGGGTAAGTTTTTAATGGACCACAATATAACTTGTTCAATAATTGCATGCTTAATTTACAATTTACAAGTTTTTCAAGAGAATGAAACACCGTGTCATGCTCTCATACTTTATAGGCAAAAACCCAAATTCCTGAGACAAGTGCAGTAGCCATGTATTACTGCATTATATTAAAATATAATGTTTACGTTTTATGCAGTTGTTTGAGATGCTGCTATGGAGAAAAGACTTTGCATCTTGTCTGTTCAACATTATAGATTAATATAGCAGATTTGTTCTATTCACAGATTTTATCTTATTATCCCCTTTGTGCCCAATCTTCAATGGCATGTTTTGCTGTGATGTGGACTGATGAAACTGAGGCCCACAGTATTGTTCAGCTGTTCGCAGTCTCCCTAGACATGCGATTATCTGCTCCATTTGAGAAAAACAGATAAATAGAATCTAAATATATACAAAATGGATGGTATTACCTCTAATTTGTTACATGGACTGGAATCAGTGGTTTTA